TCTTGAGGCCCCGTAAGCAATGAGACTTTAGTAACTACATTGTCAACCTGCTCACTTGACAGTTGGTCTCCTTCAAATAGCTTTTGAACTTAAGGTCTGTTTGAATGAAATTTGATAGACAAGGTGATGAAGCAAAAAACTGGTGACTGGTAAAAATAAAAATGAGCTGCTAGCAGGCAGGGGAAGGTAGAGCTGCTGTGTGGAAGACCATAACCAAAGCAAATTTGTCTAACATTCCAGTTGCAACAGGGGGCACCCTGTTTATACCCAGAAGATAAAAATGAGACATGAATGAAGACATGATGCATTTACATGTATTTCCATCATACAGGAGGGCATTTCTTTTAAATGTGGAGCTACCTTAAAAACAGCAATGTGGTTTTTTTTTTTTTTTTGCATCAGTGTAAAATGATATAAGAAAAAAAAAAAAGATGTAAAATCAGGCCACCCTTGTATGAAGCTATGAGGCATCACATTCTAATAAAAAGGAGAAGCTAGCCCAGAATTCAGCCATAAGCAACTGGAGCCACACATGTCTTTGTTAGCTGTGTTCTTGCTTAGAAGCAGAATCGACAGTAGCTCCAGAGCTGCACAGGCTACAAGATGGATGAAGTCTTGCTACCTGCATAACTGACTGACCAGTGCCATTTGATAAGCCCAGCCTGTGAGTGAAGTGCTACTGCAGAAGGTAGAGGAAAGTCAGCTAGTGTAGCTGTTGTCCTCCCAAGAAACCAGAGATGTCTGTTAATAATTGTGGCTACACTTTATGAAAGGAGCAATTCTTCATTTTTCAGGTCTCTTTCTTTTCTCCCTAAAATAAAGTTCTATTTATTAAGCACTTGATACCCTGCTTTTCAAGTGGGGAAGATAAGCCTCTTTTTGGTATGTTCTCCCAGATTTCTGAAGAGAGGCTTGGGATTGATGTTTATTACCAACTCCTCAACGTTTGATTGTGGATCACCTCTTCCTGTTGCAAATTAAACCTTGGTAAAGGTCATAAACAAGTTTTTGACAAGCTAGTCAAGGGAAGTGCCATATTTGGATAAATATTTGTCTTCCTCCCAGCAAACAGTTTACAGAAATAGCTTCATTCAAACAACACACAAACCTTGCAACAATAAATATAAAAACAAAACAAGTATTAAAAAAAAAATCAGACTGGATAAGAAATGATAAAAATACATTGTACTGACTCAAGTCCAACCAGTATTTAATTAACTGCTCTGACTGTGCCTGCAGTGCTTGTCCAAGCTGTACTTCCATAATAGAGTCCATGCTTTTCTTTCCAAAGAAACTCAGGACAATACTCTCTACAGTGGAAACAGAATCTTACTTCTGCAGCCAATTCTGCAGTAATTGTACATTTTCTGCTGTTTATTCGTAGTGTTTCTATTTCATATAGAAGAAACACATAAGCTGCTGTCAAGAAAGTGATTGGTGTCACAATGAACAGCACAGAAGAAAAGGAGAAAAAAGAACAATCTGCAAACAACAGACGACTAAGGGAATTATGTTATAAATTACCTAATCTGATGCCTTTCTCCAATACAACTGCCTATCTGGAAAATTAAATGGTATTGTAAGTAATGAATGGGGGTATGATTTGGAACACAACAATGATGTGAATATTATTTTTAACTGATGAGATGTATTTCAAGTGTCTTTGATTATTTACACAACATTTATTTTTCCACTTTTTTTCAATATTCCAGAAGAAATTCTCAATAATTATAATAAAGCATTATAAAAACATAAAAGAAATGCCCTACTGCATCAGAATGTTGTTTCAGTATTCATCTCTCACAGTGGCAAAAGACAATTCTAGTTAGAAGAAATATATGACTTGCCCCCTTTCTGCAAACCATTTTCGTTGTACTCCTCCAGTACCCGGAATCACTGTACTAGGGATTTTAAAGAGTACTTATCTGCTTAGTCCTTCTAGTATCTGCTTAAGGACCTGCTGCCCATGAACTTTTCTAAGCTATTTCTGGCCTTGCTGATAGTATCTGCCTCCACATCTTTCTGCAGCAACAAGGTCCAGAAGTTCACTACCCATTACGCAGGGTAGTCCATTTTAAACTGATTCACACTAGTTTTGAGTGCCCTTGGTTCTAATATTGTAAGAATCTTCATTTACCTTATCTACTACCAGAAAACTGTTATGTGTGTCCTGAACTAACTAGAAAACAAAGCAACTGCTTTAGCTCTATGCATTTTTAAATACGACTTCTTAAACACTAGACATGCTAAAAATTGTCATTTTTTTAATAAGGACTAATGAAATGAAGTAAGGGTTAAGGATGACTACCCATTATATTTCCCAATGTTTCTCACAAAAATAAGTAAAGGAAAAACTTCAAGGTCAAACATGTAAACCCAAGTCAATTATATAGCTAACGTACTTTTCTGTGAGAAGCTGATCCAGCCCTTCACACTAACCAGGACTTGGAAAATTTCTCATCTGAATCTGACTTGTTGTTGTGAACTCGTACTGAATTCCTGTATTTTCTTGTTCAGAGTTTGAATTTTGTATTCAAGCTTCAGCCACTCCCTGACAAGTGATTACTGCCTTTTAAGAATGTCTTAAGCTATCCTGAATACAAGATTTTTTAACCAATGAGACATCTTCTCCTTCCAGCTTAGCAAAGGATCTTGGCATATCCTGTGAAAGGTCAGAATCATTCTTGGTACTGAATTATTTTAATAAATACAAAAAAAAATTACCAACAATCCCCTAAAGAAGTCTATGAAGTCTACTACAGCCAAAGAGCACATAAACTGTTTAGATTGAGAATGCAAAGGCAGCTTTATGTCACTTCATGCCATGCCTAGACTATATCAGCATTAAGCCAGTCAGTACTGTTCTGTGTACCAGTCTGAAATGATCCAAAGCTGATACAATTTTCCAGAGCTGGAAGAGTAGCAGGCACTCACATAGAAGCTACAGACCACCAGCTTGCAAGTGCACCTTGAGCTGCATCCTTTTCCCAAATCTGAGTAACCTGCTTGTTTCCCTTTCACTAGTTCTCTGCTAGGTGAGGATCTGTAAAAACAGGGGTATGGATTTAGCCATCATTTGACCACAAGTATTTCAGCATATTTTCAGGTCAACTGTTTTTTTATAGCAAACAGAAAACCAAGATTGCATAAACTGGACCTTCTTAATGCCAGCCTCAGCAGCATGCTGTTGGAAGCAAAGTATTTTTCATAGTAAAACACTATTGCACAATGCCTGCTTAAAGAATCACAAACAATCCCTTTGATGGGTAGTCCAGAGAGTATCATACGGCCTACTTTCCTCAAAATCTGCTCAATCACCATATAATCATTTACTTGCTGTTTACAAACGTTAATCCAGGGTCAAGGTAATGGTCTCTGACACAATACTTAAATTTATATAAAACCATGCCCTTTTAGCATTCATTTACAACTTTGGCAGGCTACTCTGATTTAAAAGCAGACTTCTGGCTTTACCAGAGCATGGGCAGAAGTGACCTAACAGCACAAACAAAATGCTGCTTCTAGTCTCAGCTTTTTATCTTACACTACTGCAGTGCTCTAATGCCCAAAACAAAGCAAGCTTTACACCTGCAGACTGTAATGCCATTGAAAGAGATGCAGGAGTGGCCCTGGATTTGGTCAACAGACATCGCAGAGATGGCTATGTTTTGGGCTTATTCCGTGTTGCTGATGCACACGAACTACATATAGTAAGTATCAATTTAAAAGCTGATATACACAAGACTGTGATTTAAAAAAAAATTAGCCAGATCATTAAAAGTGTATGTTTATTGCTTTTAACAGAGCAATGTTGATGTAATTCAATGTATCAGCTCTGGTTTAGACTATCTCAGGATTTATTTGAGCATGATTTATTGTACATATGCTTGATTTCAAAGGATGCTGAATGCCCTCTGCTCTCTGGGCTGACAGGATGTTGGCATAAGAGATGCTCTGAAGAGTTTTATACAACAGCAGAAATTAATCTGTCCCATCTGTTGTTAGGTCTCAGATATTATGTTCAAAATTTGTATTCTGAGGGTTTCTTTAATCTGTGAATGTTTAACATTAATTAGATCAATGTATTCTGCAAGATCGGTATTTTGTTATAATCTTCATTTTGGAGATAGGTAGATTAATGGAGGGAAGGGAAAAGGGGAGAGGAAGCCAAAGGAGATGAAAATGCCACAACAGAGGAAGGGCTGGATAGAGAATCCATATCAGTCACTTCCTATTTCCTTCCTATTTCTATTTCTGTTTCCTGGAATGCATAGATAAGCTTTTCTCAATGATTCCCTAATTGCCAAAGCAAATCGATAGTAGCAAAAGCAATTGGCATGCAACTGTTCTTTAAGGAGCAGATGCAGATTTACTGATGCACCTGGCTACATCTTAGCTGCCTGGCTGCACACCTAGAATCCAAGCACACCTGCACCCCTTGAGAAGTGTCTTATACATCTCAGTATGGCAACTGAAAAAACAGGCTCGTTTTTGACAGAGCTGCTTAAGACTGCCTGTCAGGACAAGAAAAAGCTCAGAAAGTGACCCAAAGCCCAGATTCCTACAGGTCTTCAGGTTTACATTCAAAAAACGTGATGGATTATTTTGTTTTTCAAAAACAAGGATGTGAGAAGGGATAATACTGGATTTTATGCAGTAGCCAGGTAAAGAGCTCACCCAGGAAGCAATCAGGCTTCTTCATCTTTAAGACATTTCAACCCTCAAGTCTTCCATCTTTGAAGAATGCTGCTGCCACACAAGTGTGTGCCAACCTTGTGAATTTGAGCCACTAGGCAGTAAGACATGCAAAATTAATTGGCTTAAATGAGAAAAACCATAGCTGTTTCTAAAAAGAAAAATCTCAGTGTCTCTACATTTTTAAACCAATTATTCATCATATAAACTATAGAACCATGACTTGGAAAAGGGACCAGAGCTGAGGATTCACACTTTCAGATGAATGCTATAACCACTAGTCTACCATGCTTACAGTTCACTTTGTACCTGTAATGAATTTTGCTGACTTTGCAGTCCAGGGCCACAGCTTCAGCTATCACACAGAGTCTACATGAGCAGAAAAGCCTCTTCTATCTATCTTACTGCTAAAGAATTCTCCCTGTAAGGTCCCTGCACCTTTTCAGACCCAAAGTCACCGAGTGTGGTCTCCTGCATACTGGTCATGTCCACTATTGTACAAGAGTTATGTTTGCTCCACTGCCAAGATGACATTTTAAAAAAATAAGTTAAAAAAAATGCCAGAACATTATTTTGTATATCTCCATGCAATAATGTGCATTAAATTTGTCACCTCAACCCTCCTAGAAAGAAGCAGAGCAATTCCTAGCAGCTGGATCTCTACTGGGTTTACATGGGAGTCCCAGAAGTGTAAGACACTCAAGTATTCACACTAGAACAGTTCTGGGCTTGTGCAGTACAGAATTCTGGTTCCTAAGATGCTTTTTAATCAACTAAGAAGGCACCATAAAGATTTTTTTTTTTTCCCCAAGAGATATCCAGTGATGAACAGAGGAGTTTTCTGCTTCATATTTGGATGTAGATAGTTAATTTCATCCAAACTCTGCTTTAGGCTTTATTGAATACAAATGCATCCTGCTGCA